CAAAATATTAACTTCCTTGAGCTAATTAGAATACATTTTAAATTCACGAAGAAGTGGCTATAAGACTATAAGAAGCCTTTTATGGTATTTTTTAAAAAATTAGATGGTCCTTGGCATAAAAATCCAAGGTATTAAGGATGCAAGAGTTTTTTTCAAAGCATAAGTAGTTAATGCAATTGCAATTCACCCAGTTTCTAAAGTAGACATTAATTAGCTTATGGTGAATGTGGAAAATGTAAAAGAAAGCTGGAAGATAATTGGCAAACAAGCAATAAAGGAAGAGATAAAGGTCATTGTGCATTTTTCATTGTCATAAGCAACCACTGAAATTAAAGTTAATCCAATCAGGCAGGCATTTTGGTTGTAGAAGGCAAGGAATGGGAAAAAAACAGTACAGAGAAAACAAGAGATCCCAATCCATAGCTAGTTGTAAATTCATTAGATGAGAGTTACCATATTACTGGGTGCTGGACAAAAACACAGAGAATAAACCCACTGTAACAAATGGGATTTAAATTTGGCTTGGCTATCACTCTCAGCCTTCAAGTCATTTTTATTCAGCCTCTGAATAAAACTTGCCAAGAAAACCTTGTAAGAATAATCATAAGTCAGAAATGGCTTTAAGGCACACAAGAACAAAAATAAGATGCCAAACAATCTCAAACCCCATCGATTTCAATGATCTACTGCAAGTAAAACTGGCCTGAATGTTGTTGTGTGCCTTCAAGTCATTTTTTGACTTATGGTGAACCTAAGGTGAAACTATCATGGATTTTTCTATTGGGAAATATGAGATACTGCAGTGGGTCTCTCAAGCAGAGCATTTGATGTGATAAGTAGGAGTTTGAACAGCTCACCAGCCCACTCCACCCAACACATAATATCTAGGAAGGAAAGAAATAGTCTTCTCTGCAAGCTATTGAAAGCAATTCTGCATAATCAACACAGGTTCATCTTCTTGTAGGGGTAAGAGGAAAAGGAGTACTACTTGGTATCAGAAGACTTGGAGCATCTCACCCAGAGAGACCTGTTATCATACATGCTTTATGGAGGACAGGCAAGAAAGAGAGAGAAGTGAGAGAGCAGATGAGACCCCAAAGAAGAAAGGGACGATACTTGATGCAAGAAGAGAATAGGTATGAGCAAACACAAAGACAAACAGGAAGTTACCATAAACATGCTGTGCCTAAACTCCTACAGAGCAACCTGCAAACTAACTACCAATAAGTATAGACATGCAAATGCTGGTAACCCAAACATTATTCTATTTTTGGAAAGATTTGTTCAGTCACTGAAAGAGTACGATTTGCATAAGGTCACCCAGAGAGCTTCCATGCCCAAATGGAGATTTGAACTCTGTTCTCCAGGGTCGTAGTCCCATACTCAAACTACTACGTACACTGGCTCCAACTCCCAAAACTTGTAAAAATATTTTTTAGTTTAGGTATTTTCTGTTAAATGAACTTGCTGCATGCCTTAATCCTGTCATCTGTTCATTTTTCAGAAAAATTGTTCAACTGCTTATTAAAACACATTCTTTGGTTTTTATTGTCGGACATTTAA